CAGTAGCATTCAGCACCTCCTTTGTATTTGTCATTTTCTAGCAGCAGCTTGTTATCTATCTATCTATCTATCTATCTGAGTCCTGTTGACATGAAGTTAAGTGAATGCCTTTCAACCTTTCAGGACTCTCTCGATCTCTCTCTCCTCTTCTGGTTCTTGCCCTTTCTCTCTTATAAGACTTCTGAATATCTCAGGACCTTTTGATCAGCTTTTACCCTATCTCATATTGTCCTCCTTTGCTGGACACTCGATCGACACACAACACCCTTTAAACTCCCCCACCCCCCTCTCTCTGTCTCTGTATCTCTCTCTCTTTCTCTATCTCTCTCCCTCCTATATGATGACTCCAGTCTATCTGAACCCACCATCCTCTCCTTTCTCCCATGTCGAGCAACCAAATGATCAGGATCAACGCCTGAAACTTTTTATATCATCGTCATATAATAATCAAGCTGCAGCTTCATCATGTTCTTCTCTGATCTCATCATTTCCTACTTTCTTTGATTCCTTCAAAGATCAAAGAGCTGGGAGTTCTACTACTACTACTACTACTCTTGGTCATGATCACTCACTTCAATATCATCACAAGGTAAGAAAACCTACATAGCTACGTACATATTTATAAACTTAACTATCTTCGTGTTTAATTTACTTTTAATTGAAATTTTAGTACTTGATCTTAAATATTTTTCAAATCTTCCCCTAATTGACTCTTCGCTCTTTAACAAGTCCATGATCAACTTGTAATACCCCCAGTACTTTTGTGATCTTGTGATCTCATAATTAATTAATTTTGATGGGTTTTCTCAGATAAAACAAATGAATATTGCTACCATCTATCTATAAGTAAGATTGATCTTTTGTCCAATACTCCAAATAAAAAAGCCACGTTTGTTCTCTAATTAACTTTAGTGTTTTATATTATTGTATGATTGTTCACATGTACGACACACACCGACAGAACTCAATCGCTAATCAATTAGTAAGTAAATAAAGTACTTTGTATTATTATTTTTGTGAACTCAAATTGTCTTTCATTTTATCTCAGACTGAAAACCACATGTGGGATTGTAGAACAAGTACTTATGATCAAGCATCCTCGCCATCTTCTTTAGTTCAGCCTCATGTGGTGGATGTCATAAGCACCAAGGACCATAGATTAATGTCAGCATGTGCTGATCATGAAAGGGAGATCAATGGTAGAGGAGGAGAGGTGGGTAAAAGTAATAATAATATTAGGCCAAGGGCAGTAAAATGGATGTCCTCCAAGATGAGGTTGATGCAAAAGATGACCAACCCGGATCTCGCGCCGGCCGGTACCACTGAAAATCATATACTTGCAGCTGCTGAGAATGCTGAGCATAAATTCCAAGTTGTACAGCATCAAGAAAACAGTGATGAAACCAGCTTTTCCAGAAATAGCAACAATACTACTCCAGATGTTAGAGTTTGTTCTGATTGTAACACCAGCACAACCCCACTTTGGAGAAGCGGCCCTCGCGGTCCCAAGGTAAATTAAATAATGTACTTACTGTCTATAAAATATTCTATATTGTAAAGACTGTAAATCTAGACTGCACATTCTCATACATAAATAAACATGGCTGATGGTTCAAAATTATAGTCTGACAGTAAGTGATAAGGCAAATATATGTTGGGTAGATATAATATATATGTTCATGAATCAAGTATTCAGCTGTGTGCATATGTGTGTTGTTGCAGTCACTATGCAATGCATGTGGAATCCGACAGAGGAAAGCTAGAAGAGCCATGGCAGAGGCTGCGGCTGCTGCTGCAAATGGGTTTGTAGTCGGCGCCACTGACACTTCATCTACTCACAAGGAGAAGAAACCGCGCGGAAGCCATAGTATTAATGTTACACGATGCAAGAATAAGAGCAAGCTCATTGTCACCGACACTGCATCAATATCTCCCAACAACAAAATTAATAGTAATAATGATAATATTTGTTTCAAAGGTTTGGGTTTTCAACGAGTGTTTCCTCAGGATGTTGCTGAAGCTGCAATCCTCCTAATGGAGCTGTCTTGTGGCCTAATCAATCACTCTTAATTTTCATATTCCATTACATTTTTGTTCTCCCTCATCTTTTAATATCGAGGATTTTGTTTTGTTTTCGTTCCTTTTCTGTGGTTTTGCTAGAGTGTAGGTTGGAGTAATAAAACCAAAGAGTTACTTGAAGAACATTAATTTGCTGAAATTGTAACTAATTTATTTTACACATTGGTAAACTGTGAGCTATTGATTAATGGTGGAAATTAGCATATTTGAATGAGTAGTCAAGTTAATTAGAGCATTGAGTCTCTATCTTAATCCAAGTTTGAATATGGTTTTTCTTATCAATTTAGATTAGATTAGTATACCACTTCTCTTAAAAACTAATGACATGTTACTTACAGGATTGAAATGAATGAAAATCATTTTGGATTTTTGAGTTTCATGTGCTTACTAATGCACATATAGAATAAAAAAAAAATTATTTCATAATCCAATACTAAATAAGTAGAAAACACTCCTTGCTTCTTCAAATCCTAATTTCCTATTCTTGACTTCTCTTGTTCCTAATTAGTAAAATATTGTCATAGACTCATATGTACTGTTTTAAAAATACCCGCGTAGCGCCACCTAGGCGCTAGGCGGTTGGCCACCATCCCGATTAATGCCTAAACATTGAAAATTTAGAAAGGGAGTCTAGACCTATTGAGGCACCCACCTAGGCATCTGCCTAGCCTACCTAGACACACCTAGGTTGCGACTCATTTAGACAGAAAATAGATAACTTTCATTTTGCATTTTCTTTTTAATAAATTGTAAGAAAGTTGTTGAATACTTAAATGAATACACATTATATGCTTGTTCCCTATGTTTTCATTATGTTTCAATAGTTCATAATATACATGTCATTCTATTTTGTAATTTATGATGTAATTATATATATTTTAAGTATAAAGTATAAACAGACACTTATTTACATGACATATAATAGATTTACTTAAATCCGTCTAAGTGCTAGACCCCAACTCACCGCTTGACTAACGCCTAACGTCTTTTAAAACCAAGATCATGTGTAATGGGCGGTGCTTATTAAAGATAAGAGAGTTAGAAAAGTAGGTCTAAAAGAAGGTTATGAAATTGAGCTCATGAGTGGATGTCATCAAATGAAATGAAACCTCTCGGCCATGGTTCATGTAATCAAAGACGGTCAAAGATGATTCCATGGTAATTAATGGATGCAGAAATGTCTCTGTGAGTCTTTCTGACACATAAAATTTCACCACCAACTGATCCCTCTTCTCAAAAGTAAAAAAAAATAAAAATAAAAAAGAGGTCAAACTAAGCCTAAAACATTACGACAGTGACCTCCCTTCCCTCGTACCAATTGTAAGAATTCCAAGGAGTTTACAAATGCACCTACCCTTTGACTAAAACTAACTCCACGTTCATCAATCTTATGTTGAAAATTAGATCTTGGATGTAACGTTCACATTTAGTCAATACATACTTTATTATCGTAAGGGAGTAGGTTTTATTCAAGCAGCTGTAGAAAGTTTGCAACAATACAAGTTACATAGCTGATGTGTATGTATTTATCAACAATTGGGTAATTGTGTCTAGTCTCAAATTTTGTATTCAATTACAAATTGTAAGTAATTGAGTTAAAATCGTTTGACTATCATACCATCACTGATATTAAATATAGTTATAATTTGAGTAATTGTGTAATTGTAACTGTCATGTAGTTACTTTCAGTTGACCGTTTAACAAAATAGAGCAAAAAAAATTTTAAATTAATGTTTTCCCTTATGTGTTTTATTGTATCCCCTTTAGGGCTTCCAACCATACAATGAGGATGTTGAAACAATGTCATTTTTAGCCAAACTATTTAGTACTACGGTCTAATTGTATTTTTCACTTATAATTGAGAGTATTACGTTTAATTCTTGTCAAATGCGAAGTTAAACCATATTATTATGTTAAGTCCATTACAATACTTAACCCACTTTACCACTCATTTTAGTGTAAATACTATCGTTTGTTAAAAAATAACAATAATAATAATAAATCATTCCAACAATGCCATTACCTGCAATTTTTTTTTTCCTTTTTTTCTTCATTTCCAAAATTGTAAATCCTTTTTATTTCTATATTGTGATAAAATTGTAGATACCAAGCATTTTCCACGCATGCCACCGCAACCTAATTTTAACTCTGAAAAGTACACAGTGTGGACTCCTACTTCCCACTCCCCGGGGATTAAAAACTAGGAAGGGTTGAGACCAAGTACTAGATTGTCAGCCACAGACATCTTTCTCCTCCCAAGGATGATCCCCTGTTTTTTTTTTTTTACCAAATTTACCACACCAACCCCCACCCCACCAAATACAGTTGGTCCCACCAAAATGTAAATCCGGCAATTAATCACAAATTTGGAATTGGAATATTCAACCAAATTTCCGTTACCACAAATGTTCCATCATTATTTATTTGCTTAGACCTAAGTGTATTGGAAAAATGTTGGATGCAACTGTGTTCATATTTCACACGTAGCACATAAAAGTTAAAAAACAATAAATACAGAAAAATATATTACATGACTACACCTAAATTTTGATATTTTATTGTTAGACTGACGACCTAATCCTAACCTTATATTAATTGTCAAATTTTGTTTTTATTGTGTGTGAGGTGATAAAGGGAGATAAGTCTAATGTGATAGAAAATCTGCCAACAAATTACAAAAAGATTCCCAGATTTTCAACTGCAAATCCAGCAGATATTCATCAAAAACTCCATTGGTTGGTGCGTGTTTTTTCTCCTCCCTCCCCTCTCCTCTCCACCCTCAATACTATTTGGAGAAACCCATTCATTCAGATCCATTGAAACTCAATCTCCTTTCCTCCAATCCCTTCCATACGTTCATGATTTTGTGAACCATAATTTCTCTATTTTTTTTGTGGGTTTTTCATATCCTCCAAAATAATCCTGTCCTTTTCTCCATAGGTGCCCAGTCACGCACCACCCACCACCCACCACCACCAGCAGATCTTGAAACTCCATCACATTTTCTCCAAAATTAATATAAATTAATTATTTAATATTCAAATATTTATATATAGACAAAAGCCGCCACTGATTTCACTTATCAAAAACAAACCCACAACCACCAACTTGTTTTCTCACTCCCTCCAATATAATAACAGAGAAAGAGAAAAAGCAACAAACTTTGGAGGAAAAATTCATATTTTTACAAGTTATCTCACCAACCCAGTCTGCATTTCGAGTTTCTGCCCTCTGGGTTTTTCCAAACGCAGTCGTTTTCAGCTTCCATGGAGCGCGCGAGGCGACTGGCGAACCGGGCTTTCGTGAAGCGCTTGGTCTCGGAGGCGAAGCAGTTCCGCCAGAACGAGAGCTCTGTTCTGGGCTCCTCCACCTCCCCTGTTCTCTACGCGCCGTCGAGGTACGTCTCCTCACTCTCCCCATGCTCCTTGACGCGCTCCAGTCCCAGATCAGACTCGCTTCTCTCGAGAAACGCGTCCCACAATGCCGGGTTCCAAACACGGTCGATTTCCGTGGACGCATTGAAAAACAGCGACACTTTTCCCCGCCGCCATAACTCCGCCACGCCGGAGGAGCAGACCAAAATGGCGGAGTTATGCGGGTTCGATGGCCTTGATTCGCTGATCGACGCCACCGTGCCCAAATCAATTCGACTCGAATCGATGAAGTTTCCGAAATTCGATGAGGGGTTGACAGAGAGCCAGATGATTGAACACATGAAGAATTTGGCCTCCAAAAACAAGATTTTCAAGAGTTTTATCGGGATGGGATATTACAACACTTATGTCCCACCTGTAATTTTGAGGAATATTATGGAAAATCCAGCTTGGTACACTCAGTACACTCCTTATCAGGCTGAGATTTCCCAGGGGAGGTTGGAATCTCTGCTCAATTTCCAAACTTTGATCACTGACCTCACCGGCCTTCCCATGTCGAATGCATCACTGCTGGACGAGGGGACCGCGGCTGCCGAGGCAATGGCGATGTGTAACAACATCCAAAAGGGAAAGAAGAAAACTTTTGTCATTGCCAACAACTGTCACCCCCAGACCATTGATATTTGCAAGACTAGAGCTGATGGTTTCGATCTTAAGGTTGTTACCGCGGATCTTAAGGATGTTGATTACAGTTCGGGTGATGTCTGTGGTGTGCTTGTTCAGTATCCGGGGACTGAGGGCGAGGTTTTGGACTATGGGGAGTTTATTAAGAATGCTCATGCCAATGGGGTTAAGGTTGTGATGGCATCTGATCTGTTGGCGTTGACAGTGTTAAAGCCGCCTGGTGAGTTTGGGGCGGATATTGTTGTTGGTTCTGCGCAGAGGTTTGGTGTTCCAATGGGGTATGGAGGTCCTCATGCGGCTTTCCTCGCCACCTCACAAGAGTACAAGAGGATGATGCCAGGGAGAATTATCGGTGTTAGTGTTGACTCCTCAGGGAAGCCTGCGTTGCGTATGGCGATGCAGACAAGGGAGCAGCATATCCGGAGGGACAAGGCTACCAGCAACATTTGCACTGCTCAGGTTGGATGCTATTCTTCATTTGATCTGTCTTATGATTTCCTTTCTAGGGTGAACTGCTGAAAGTTTGAATTTCGATCCAATGATAGTAGCATTTATTTCAATTTGATTGACTTGGCTTTGTTTGATTGGGTATATTGTTTGTTTTATAGGCATTACTTGCAAACATGGCTGCTATGTATGCTGTATATCATGGACCCGAAGGCCTTAAAACCATTTCCCAAAGGGTTCATGGTCTTGCTGGGGCATTTGCAGTTGGATTGAAGAAACTTGGAACAGTGGAAGTTCAGAGCCTTCCCTTCTTCGACACTGTGAAGGTTAAGGTTGCTGACGCACATGCAATTTCTGATACTGCTAACAAGCTTGGATTAAATTTGAGAGTAGTAGACTCGAGCACTGTAAGTTCTTTTTATGTCCTCTTCCATCAGTTATTTGACTAAATGTTCTCTGAGGACGGAGGATGGAGTGCTTTTACTTCACGAGGTTGCTGAATGTTAACTCCTTTTCAGATCACTGTTTCGTTTGACGAAACAACTACCTTGGAGGATGTTGACAAGCTTTTCAAAGCTTTTGCTTTGGGCAAGCCTGTAAGTATTTCATATCTTTACCATAAAGTTGTTAATTTCAATTTATTATAAAGTGCATCCATTTATTAAGAGCTTTGTTTAATTTTCAGGTGCCTTTCACTGCTGCATCTCTTGCACCAGAAGTTCAGCCTGCAATTCCTTCTGGGTTAACAAGGGAGAGCACGTTTCTAACCCATCCGATCTTCAACTCGTATGCCTCTTTCCAAATGATTTGAACTCTCACAGCCTATATTTGAAAACTAGACTGAGTTTTTTCATTTACCGTCTATCTATTAGGTATCATACCGAGCATGAGTTGCTACGATACATTCATAAGTTGCAATCGAAAGATCTGTCTCTATGCCACAGTATGATTCCCTTGGGATCCTGTACCATGAAATTGAATGCAACAACTGAAATGATGCCAGTGACATGGCCTAGTTTCACCGATATTCACCCTTTTGCTCCTACAGAACAGGCGGAGGGTTATCAGGTAACTCAAAACGTTAACTTACAAAGGAACTTAAAACAGTTACTTTTGTTCCCCTAAATTTCTTTTTGCTACGTTACATTCCTTCATGCAAATAGAAATCTGATGCTATATGTTGTAAAATAATAAATTTCAGGAAATGTTCGGAGATTTGGGTGACCTATTATGCACCATCACTGGGTTTGACTCTTTCTCTTTGCAACCCAATGCCGGAGCTGCTGGAGAGTATGCTGGGCTGATGGTTATTCGGGCATATCATTTAGTAAGGAATCCTGAGTTTTACATTTTTGTTTTCCCTCTTTTTAATATGTGTTAGCAAGCGCTTTGCTGTCGAGCTTAAACAAACACTTTACCTTGAGGTCTTGACCTAAATGTTTTATTCTTGTTACTAATCACGCTGAACCATCCCACTGTAGGCAAGAGGCGATCACCACCGCAATGTGTGTATTATTCCTGTTTCGGCACATGGTACCAATCCTGCTAGTGCTGCAATGTGTGGAATGAAGATTGTAACTATTGGAACTGATGCCAAGGGAAACATCAATATTAAAGAGCTGAAGGAGGCTGCTGAAGCAAACAAGGATAACCTATCAGCTCTTATGGTAAGCATCCTACGTTGGAAGAGATATCATTTGAAAAGATCAGATACGGATTTGTGTCATTTGAAAAAGATTGGATAATAATTTGACCATATTTCAAATTACAGGTGACATATCCTTCAACTCACGGAGTGTATGAAGAAGGTATTGACGAGATATGCAAGATAATTCATGACAACGGAGGTCAAGTATACATGGACGGGGCTAACATGAATGCGCAGGTCTGTATCTCCTTCTATCCATGCTTGATAGTTATGTACTTATACTTAAAATTCAAATAGTTTCTTCCATGCGAACTTTTTTCTTTTGTTGTCGCGTGTTCCATCTGACAAAGCTTTTTGTTCTTGCAGGTTGGTCTGACAAGCCCAGGTTGGATTGGAGCTGACGTTTGCCATCTCAATCTTCACAAAACATTTTGCATTCCACACGGAGGTGGTGGCCCTGGCATGGGTCCTATTGGTGTGAAGAAGCACTTGGCACCCTTCCTACCATCCCATCCTGTGGTAACTACTCATTACATCGAAGCTTTCATGCAATTCTGTAAACTCAAGAAATAATCGATTTAGCTTTTCCATGAGAACAAAGTAATTCTGGTTTCAAAATTTTGGATTGCTTACATGCTGGATGTCTAAGTTTTGTGCCATTGTACTGAAGGTATCTACCGGAGGCCTTCCTGCCCCCGACAAGTCTCAGCCACTTGGAACCATCTCTGCTGCACCTTGGGGCTCTGCACTCATTTTGCCAATCTCTTATACTTACATAGCCATGATGGGGTCCAAGGGACTCACCGATGCATCAAAGATAGCAATTCTGAATGCAAACTACATGGCCAAACGCTTGGAGGTTCCACTTAGCTCCTTCACTCTTGTTTTGCTTTACAATTTGAGGTTACGGTTATACTCTATGTTAAATTTCCTCTGTTTGCTCATTTAGTCTATCACTTCTCACAGAATTACTACCCCATTCTTTTCCGTGGTGTCAATGGAACTGTTGCTCATGAATTCATTGTTGACTTGAGAGGATTTAAGGTATATTATTAACATTTGCCTCAATTTGTCCTCGCTTTTTCAATCTTTCTAATTGAACTCTGCTGCTTCTTTTTTCCTTGTAGAATACTGCTGGGGTAGAGCCTGAGGACGTCGCCAAGCGTCTTATGGACTACGGATTCCATGGACCAACAATGTCATGGCCAGTTCCTGGCACTCTCATGATCGAACCAACAGAAAGTGAAAGCAAGGTACACCTCGACAGAGATTTCATTTTAGTTTTTTCTCTGCTGTTTTTCTTCGGGTTAAAGTTATATTAATGTTTCTTGCTTGCAGGCCGAGTTAGACCGGTTTTGTGATGCTCTAATTTCCATCAGAGAAGAGATTGCTCAGATTGAGAAAGGAAAAGCAGATCTTCACAACAATGTCCTTAAGGTAAAATCTCAGTTCATCATCTCTCTCCTCTAAAGACTATAAGTTACTCATTTTACATAAGTATAAAAAGGTTTTTGAACTCCTTCTGCAGGGAGCTCCTCACCCGCCATCACTTCTCATGGGAGATGCATGGACAAAGCCATATTCCCGGGAATATGCAGCCTTCCCCGCTTCCTGGCTCCGTTCTGCCAAGTTCTGGCCTACCACAGGTATGCAATTTACACCAAAAATAAAGAAACTACAATGGCATGGACGTTGCTAAGTGTTTACTGTACATTCATTTTGGTATTGTCTGATTGCCTTTATTGAAGATTGAATTTTGTTAACTATTGTATCAGGACGTGTTGACAATGTGTATGGTGACCGTAACCTCGTCTGCACCCTTCAACCGGAGGCGGTGGAGGAACAAGCAGCAGCCACTGCTTAGTCTCATCGGCTTGGTGATTTAAGCTCAACACAAAGTCTGGTCCTGGATGTGTTATGAAATCATCATCAATTTCTTCTTCTTACTCCCACATTGTATATAATTTCTTGAATACAGCCCCTTATATCTGGTGACATTTTCATTTCCTATTCACTATGATGACGATTATCTTTTCTAATAACATGTGTTGCTAATTGCAACTCATCAGATGTTGTAATTATCATTTCCCTTCATTAGGGATTTTTTTGCCAGTTGATCACGGAAGTGCCCGGACCCTCTTGCACTTAAGTTTGAATCTTTTTCCTAGGCTAGATTACTTTAGGCATCCTCATGTCCAAAACATATTTTGAAAAAAAAATCTCTGTATATTATTTAGCATGTCACTATCAAACGAATGAGTTTTGAGAAGCTAACCTTTAATTTGACAATATTTATTGTCAATTTGTGACATCTAGATTTTAGGAAGAATAACAAAATCATTGTTCCCTCACTTGAATTTTAAAAAGCACATTGCAAGAGCGTATGATGATCGATCTAATAACATTCGATCTCTACTTTGTTGGATGTTTTATAATTAAATCACATGAATGCGAATATGATGTATTTGTATTACTCAAATGTGGCCCATTGTGACTTGTGGTCATTTAATGTCTGGTTATAAAAATAATTTGTAGAATCCCTATTGTTTCGTTAACTTCAGAATTAAGTCTACAAGTAATTTTAAAAGAATCGCACTTTTCTTTTCGGGAAATAAAGAATCTCAAATTGTAGATGCCAACATAAATATTTTAATTGATGTGTGTGTGTGTGTATTTTTTTTTTGTCGAACATTAGTCTAACTTGAATATGGTACATCTGAATCAACAACTAATAAACCTCGATTTCAAAAATCAATTCAAAGTACAAAAGAATAAACAAATAATCAATATTAATCAAACAAGGCATTGCCGGCATGCAATCTACTACTTGTTGAAGTTCTTGAGCAACTGATCGAAGGTGTTGGCCGTACATGCAAGCTCAATTGGCCCGTCAATCTTCGCATCGAACACATCCGGCTCCGATTTCTTGACGAGTTGTTGGAGAGTTGGATTCAAGAGATACTTCAAAGGAACTTGGTATAGCTTTCGTTCTTGTCCAACGTACACATTGATTGAACCTTTCTTGGGGCGCTGGGACTTGCTTAAAGCTGTGTAACTTTTCCTGGAGTACTGGGACTTGCTCAACTTCTTGACGAACGTACTTGTCTTTTCTCGAAGACTGTTTGCAAGATTCATTGTTTCTACCTCTCCTAGACGACTAAACGAAGGGTTTTCTGAAAGTTAGGGTTTAGTGAGAATTGGAAAGAGGAGAGACGAGAGCAGGGTTTTTTGAAAGATAGGGCTAGTTGGACGTGAAGATTGGAGACAAGAAATTGGAAGGCGAGAACTGAGAGACCGAAGGTCCAGCAGTGTTTATATATGATCAATTAAAGCGGCAAGGGTTTCCAAATCCTAGTCCTCAAGGGTTTCCTAAAAATCATAATTTTCGGAACAAAATCATAAATATTCGGAACAAAATGATGAACAAAAAACAATATTGATTGTAGCAGTCTTGATCTCTTAATTACTTGGAAACCAAGGATTCTTTATCATTCACATTTGGACTTGATATTAAGGGTTGAGATTAAAGCACTAAAAACACATTCAAATCCAATGATGGATCACCATGCATTCCTTGGTCAGCTTATATTTTAGATTTTATAGTGGGCGTAAATTTCAATTTTTTGGAGGAGTTTCAGGTACTTGTCTGATTACTTTTAGTGACGATTGAGTTTCGTTGACTCTATTGCATCAGGACGTGTTGACCACCGGAAGCGGTGGGGGAATAAGCGGTAGCCACCGCTTAAGTCTTCAGCTTGGTGCTTTGAGGTTGAGCTCAACACAAAGTCTTTGGTTATGGACCTGCTGTGATGGTCTAAAAAAAGAAGAAAAATTTTGTTGATTAATTCCTGGACTCTTCGCAAACAAGACTCTAAAAGCTCCAACTGTAATCACGTTTGATCACTATCATATTGTTTTCTGTTTGGTCATTCGATCATTATTAAACGAGAAATTTTATTTGAACCCATCTAACATTTTTCTACATCCAACTTACTCTTTCTACCCATATTATTTTTAATTAAAGAACTAATATCTCTTTAAACCCAAATTTACTACCTAAACTACTCTAACAAACCCATTTTAAAATATAAATTTATCTTTACTCCCATTTAGAACATAAAATCCCAAATGAATAATTTGGTAAAGTTTCTACTTGTTTATGAGAATGAAAGCTTTCTGGAGTTCGACTTTTGTGGACAAATTGAATAATTTGGTGAAGTTTCTACTTGTTTATGAATATTCCATATCTTGTTTTCTTGATATCCATGTCCCCATATTTTTATTTGCATAAGCATAAAGTTCCGTGCTTTCGTATGCCTGCCTTCATATTTTACATGGGTCTTGCAGCATTCCTGCTTGTAACTGATACAGTGCAAGGACCATATCTGCAGTTCAGTCCAAAGAGATGGGGTCCCATCACCGGCATAAGAGGATACTTGACATCTGCTTTCCTTACCATGGGATTCAAGGTCATGGCTCTTCTGTTTGCTGTTTATGTAACCTGGCCATTGCTTGGCTTTCCGGCCTTGGTTTCTGTCATTCCCTTTCCAGTTGGCTGCGTTGCTCAACTTGCATTTGAGACGGGTCTTGAAAAGCGTAAGTCATCTTCCTGGCCTCTAGTTCCCATTATTTTTTAGGTAGTTATAGTTATTTTAGATTCATCAATGTTCTTTGTTCTGGAGTTAGATCCAAGGATTTTGGCATCTATTGGAATTCTTCTTTTGTCAAGCTTGAAGATTGAACTTTACTTCCTCGAAATCGACCACCAAAATTCAAGGTAGATTAATGTTTTGCACAAGCTAATCAAGTTAGGACCAAAGAAATTCTCTAATGCCTAAAACGAATTTAGTTTAGAAGTAAAGATGTAATACAAGGGAACATTCATAAGGCACATAAATATAAGAAACTCTACAATCACCGAATTTTGTTCCTAAACTTAAAAAAAAAAAAAAAAAATTGAAATCAAGCGAAAAAGACTTGCATAAATCGATTCATACCTTGGTTTGAGGATTTAAAACTTCAAATTACCATCCATTGATAAAAGAGCTTGTTTTTACTCTATGAGCTCTTTGAGCTTTAGCCATAATTAACATAGGATAAATATTGCGTGATGGTGGGTTTGATTATTCGGTGTGGGTTTATTGAAAAAATTTAGTTTTATTGTTGATTCATGTTGTACTTGATGGTAATTATGTAATAGGGTAAAAGAGGCAATTCACATTTAAAGTTTAAGTTGGGTGTAAAAAGAGGTTATATGGGTTCAATTAAAATTTCTCTTATTAAACTCCTACTAAAGTTTTATTCCTAATGTATATTTTTTACTAACATTTGACAGTCGTAAATCAGTTATACCAAATAATAAACCGTGCACATTTTTTTTTATCTTCATATATTTATTTATTTTTAGTCATCCCATTAAATAAAACAAACGAAACAACGTGTAAGATTCAACCTAGATTGTATAAGAAAAAAATAATGTGTGGTAATCGTTTATGTACATGTCTGTGTTGGATATACTTTCTTCTCGGAGTGCACCATAGTTTTTACATGATGTAGTCCAAAAATCATAATATTTGGAACAAAACGAAAGTTCAAAAATAATATTTGATTATAGGCCATAACTTTGGAATAGACTCCGAGTTTATAAACGAGCCTTGGTGTACGCAGAGTTTATGCACATTGTGGTTGTTTAATGTCCGGTTATAAAAAAAAACCCTTGTAAAATGATATTGTTTCTTTATAAAAAAGACAAACACACACCATAGAAGAAGGTATTAGCTTCAGGAACTTTAAAAGAATCTCTCACTTTTCTCCTCAGAAAAATAAAGAACCTCAAATATTGTACATGTTGATAACTAATAAACCTCAAATATAAAAATGAATTCAAAGTACAAAAGAATCAACAAATAATCAATATTAAACAAACAAGGTAGCGCGTGCATGCAATCTACTACTGTTTGAAGATCTTGAGCAACTGATCGAAGGTGTTGGTCGTACATGCAAGCTCAATTGGCCCGTCAATCTTTGCATCGAACACATCCGGCTCCGACTTTTTGATGAGTCGTTGGAGAGTTGGATTCAAGAGAAACTTCAAAGGAACTTGATATAGCTTTCGTTCTTGTCCGACGTACACATTGATATAACCTTTCTTGGGGAGCTGGGACTTGCTTAAAGCTGTATAACTTTTCTTGGAGTAACGGGACTTGCTCAACTTCTTGATGAACGTACTCGTCTTTTCTCGAACAATGCTTGCAAGATTCATTGTTTCTACTTCTCCTTGACGACTAAACGAAGGGTTTTCTGAAAGCTAGGGTTTAGTGAGAACTGCAAAGATAAAAAAATGGGAGGTACGGATTGGAGAGACGAGAGGAAAAAGCTAGGTCTAGTTGGACGTGAAGATTGGAGACAAAAAATTGGAAGGCAAGAACTGAGAGATTGAAGGTCTTGTGTTTATAAATAAAAAAAAAAAGCGGCTAGGGTTTCCAAATCCTAGTCTGCAAGGGTTTCCAAATTGGTCCAAAAAATCATAATATTCGGAACAAAATGATAAATAAATAAAATATTGATAATAGGAGTCTTGATCTCTTAGTTACTTGGAGACCAATGATTCATAGTAGTTTATCTTTGAATTTGATATTAAGGATTGAGATTAAAATGCAAAAAACGCATCCAAATTAAGGGATGGATGACCATGCGTTCCTCAATCACTAGGTAAAAAATCTGGATAAGAATATGAACTCTCACTAGTGGTAGAGAGTTTACATCTTCGGTTTTCTAGTGGGCGTAAATTACAAATTTCTTGGAGGAGTTTCAGGTTTTTTATGCTTTTAGTGACGGTTGAGATTCGTTGACTATATTCTATCACGTGTTGACAATGTGTGTGGTGACCCGCAACCTCATCTGGAGGAGAGATTTTTCAATGTGACTGGTGCACGGGGTAGTACATCACGTGTTACTATACAAATTGTGGGATATGTGTGATAAAAAGTTAATAACTTAAAAAATAAGATTTCCCACCCACCACTTCTATTAGAACACGTGGTGTATCACTTATGTTCCCGTCATAATGAAAAATTTCTCCAACAGGAGGCGGTGGTGGAACAAGTGGCAGCCACCGGTTAAGTCTTCTGCTTGGTTCTTTGAGTTTGAGCTCAACCCTAACTGTCGGGTTATGGACGAACAATGTCATACATATATATC